GAGCCGCTTTGGCCAAGGCAGCCATGAGTGCTGTCATAGTCCTAATTCTGATTTCTTTTCTGGCATGTTGCATCGTTCTCATGCTGAGGAGACAGTGCCTGCGAGCCATGGACAAACAAACGGACATGATGATGGGCCTACAGGGAGCTCAAATGATAAATGTGCTGGCAAATGGACAACTGGCTCAAATGCGCCAAGTGGTTCAAGGACTACTGGGGAAAGCGGACTTGTTCCCGATACCCGGTTATCTGGACACTGCAGATGGTTCTGAGGACGAATCAGAACCCGAGGAACAGGTGTAAGGAAAGTGACAGGATGGAAGGGAGCCCCAACAGGGGGGACATGAACTTTGTTACCTGTTGATGGACTCAATGGACTGAATTTTAACACACCACACAGAATTATGCATATGTAATTGGGTAATCAATGTTTTCGTTGTCTGATTAATATCCAGGTTATCTCATTATCCATTGTATTGAGTCATCATAAGAATGTGCTGTGTTTACTGAGCATGGTTCAGGATGTGACTTGTGAAGTCGGTCACCTGTGGGGAAAGGGGCCATGGGAGAATTTTCTAATGCAGGTTTTTTGCTCCCATACATCTCTGAACATGTGAACTGTCCCATGTATTCCAATTGCATTATAGTGAAAGATACTATTATCACAGTAGTGTTACAGTCATAACCATATCCAGAATATCATATCGTTTCACCGTCACCATTTTTGCAATGATATGTTGTCCATCACTCATACTTCACACATAGTTCAAATCACAATAGTGATTTCAGGGGGGATATGTAGGAGAATCATAAGGCCCAAAGATGTATGACTTGATATCACCTGGTTGGACGCCAACAGGAGTACAAGAGCCAATGTAGGAGAATAACAAACATAACAATAACAAAAGATATGGTTTGGTGGCTAACAGAGTGGGCCAAGACACTTTGACCGTTTTGGGAAAAACATCTGGAAAATAGGAGATTGGGAAATTAGGAATAAACATAACTTCAAGGCCATGGCCAATGGGAGCACAGTAACCTGGCAAGGGGTCACTGTGTTCTGCCAGAAGAACACAGTGACCTGGGTGTGGGCCAGGAAAACCTAGTTGGTTAATAGTTAGGCAAGAGTAGTATGACGAAGACAAAATGGTTGGAAAACAGGATGCACATATACACACATAGCCATCTGAGATATAAAAGAACATGTTTCGTTCTGTGTGGTGGTTGTTATCTCCGTCTATGACTGCGAGTAGGGCCGCTGTGAATAAAGAGACTCCCCGCTCTGACACTTGTGTCTCGACTGTCTGATTCCTTTTTCGATCCTCCTCTTCTCGCCACAACATTAATACCTAGAGACGTTTTTGAGAAGTGCACACAGCTCTGTCTCAGGTTCCCTCTCTGTGATGCTGCAACGAAAGCATTACTGAGTCAAGCTTCTCTGGACAGACGCTCGCTCACTACTGTTTGGAAAACAGACTGAAATTCAAGTATCTCGACAACTACTGGACAGATTCTAAATAAATTTTGTACAAGCATTCACAGTCCCCAGAGGATGAATCCTATTCGATTCCTCCTATGTAAAATCTCACAAGTTCATAACAAGAGGCCTTTTAATCGAATGTCAACAGCCTCAACACTATTTTGAGGTTAAAGCATTGGGATAATAAATTACATTTGGGATTAAAAAGCTTTTTTCTGTAACAAAATCTCTCTCTTTTCCTGGAAAACATTCAAATGTTTTTGCTGACTCATCCTGTTCCTTACATATACAGAAATTATCCAGTAAATCCAGTGAATTTCAAGTAAGTTTTACCCTGTTCACATATTCGGTTTCACATGGAAATACGTCACATTACGTCACATGGAAGCTGAAGTTACTCTAACTGGCATTTTGCTGGGATTTTAGCGCTAACGTAGCATAGTAATGCTAATGGAAATGTCAGCATTCAACAGGAAAATTGTTAGATGCTAACCAGCTAACCTACTAAACATTATGATGCTAGCAAATGTGAGAATGCCAAAGTTGTAGCATGCTACAATGCTAACTTTTACACAGAACTTGTACACCTGTTATAGGGCCTTAACTAATATTAAGGACATCTAGATTATGTTATTTTGGAGATTTTAGCGATATGAGAGATTGAATTGAAATAAAATGAAGGGAAACATCTGAACTTTTGACATTAAAGACATACGTACATTTATCCAATCAAAAGTGGTTGAAGGAATTCGAAAGTGCGCTTGATTCCGTTAGATTGTGGGTCGAAGTCGCTAGAGGGAAATCATAGGGATCTTTAAAAATTTGTATACAACACACGGTTGGTCAACTTGTAGATAAGGTAAACAGTACTCTACAATGATATAGAGGACGGGATCGCTTTGGTCATATCGTTAATCCAACTGCCATTTCCCTTGGATTTTTATGATAACGTAGGATTAGAAGGTTAATGGTAATGTTAGCATTCAACAGCAAAATTAACATGCTAACAGGCTAAGTTGCTAAACTTTCTGTTAGAGAGCAAAAATGTCTACATTAGCAGGTTAACATGTTAAATGCTAGGTGCATTGCTAAAATGCTAAATGCTAGCTGTTGACAACAAGTTCCTGCTGTGTTTTTGAAGATTTTAGCGATCTGCTGATTCCGATATTTTTCAGAGTCAGCATCGTTTAAATGCGACTGTTTTTAGGCAAAATAATCAGGTTCATTTAAAATTAGCTGAATAAAAGATTTTGTTTTTCTACCCAAAAATTATATTTGTGGCAGCAGAGAATTCTTTGAAGCGTTTATATAGTAACTATTTAAGAGTTAAATGTAAAAAAAATGTTTTGGTGTCTATGTGCTTTTACACTGTAATTATAAAATTTTTTCAACCTTTTTTCTGGCATTTTATGGAGCAAAATATTAATAAAAAATAATTAATTAGCCTTAGATTTGATCATTTTCCTGCATGTTTCAACTGAATGGCTGTTTGTCAAGCTAAAAAATGGTACAAGATTATATTATTGATTTGATTGATTCACACAATTCACATTTTTCAATTAATAACTCTTGTTGTCTGCAGTTTCCTTGTTCCTAGCATGACAAAGAAGCAGAAAACTAATATTTGTTGTTTAAAACTGCAACAAGGCAAAACAACTTAAACCACCTGTGGGCCTAGCATGTTGTTTTTATGCTGTTTATAGTTGGTTTTAGTTTGTTTCATTTTGGGTTTTGTGTTTCTGCATGTCCAAGTTGATGCTGGATTGTGTATTTTTGTTTGTTTGTTTGTTAGTTTTATGGTGAATATTTGGACACGTGTCATGTGCAGGTTGTTTTATGACAGCATTTGTTTTCTGCGGTACAGCTTTGTATCTGAGGCTGTGGAGAAAGTTAATTAAAATAATCTTAGGATGGTTGTAAAATGCCATAAACACTGTAAATACCTTCAGTTTCAGTTCGCATTGGCGATAAATTCTTATACGTATAGTCTCTAGTTTTCATTTTGGGTACAATATGTTGGGAGGGGAGGTGGGGAGGTGGGGAGGTGGGGGTGACCTAAAGCCCCTCTCTCCGTGCTTTAACCCCTGAGATCAGCTTATAGACAGGGACCCTCCCCCAAATCCCCTTCACCCCGACTCATCCTCCCCCTGATGTCTCCCCTCTTTTCTAATCAGGAGACGCAGCCTGAAGCAGGAAGATTTCACCTAAATGTTTTATCATTAGAATGAAAAATAAAACATTTTCCTCTCGACCTTCATCAGCAGTGATGTTGCGTTCACACCTAAAAGCATGAAAACATCAGCGTAGCTTTACAGACTCAGCTGCACCTCTATGTGAAATGTGAGTCTATGGCTCAGACACAAAAACAAACACAACTTCTTATGTGGCTGAATTCTGTCCTGAAATCTGCTCGGAAACAGTTTTCATCAAATTAACAATCATCAAAACGATGACTATTATTAATAGGGCTGAGTTAATATATCCATCTGTCAATCAACAGAAAATTAACAAGCTACAATTTTGACGACTGATCAATGCTTTTAGTCATTTTTCAAGCAAAGAAATCAAAAACATCGAAAACTATCTGGAAATTAATCGATATTGAAAATAATCATTAGCTGCTGCTCTGATTTTGATAACTGACTAATTACTTAAATAATTTGTGCTGTAAAATCAATGGTTCCTGCTTCTGTGATGTGAGGATTCGGTGCTTGTCTCCGTTTTAAATCAGTGAACGTGGAATATTTTTTAGATTTTGGACTGTTGGTGTGAAAAAACAAGGAATTTAAAGACAGATTTCATTTTACAGTCTAAACCATTCATCAATTAATCACAAAAATAATCAAGAAATAAATCAATAACGAAAATAAACATTGGCTGCAGCCTTAAATATTGTAAATATCATGATTTGCCTGTAGATGCCACAACACAAGGCAGGGTGTTTGGTTCATCACATAATCAATAAATCAGAATATCCATGACGATGCAAAAAAAAAAAATTAACTGTTAATGATGAAGATGAAAATTATTATTCTTCATGCCATGTCTGGTGCCTGTGTGTGTGTGTGTGTGTGTGTGTGTGTGTGTGTGTGTGTGTGTGTGTGTGTGTGTGTGTCAGACACTGCAGTGTGTGTCTGCTGATTTAAGTGCACTGCGCGCCTCCCACACAGTGTCAGCCTGAGCATCATCCACTTTGCAGAATTTAACCTGAACGCTTCATTAAAACAAACTGCGTCCCTGCCGGTTCCACCCGGATTCACAACATCACTGTTCATAAACACCTTAGAAAATAAATAAATAAAACAATCACATAAACACTTGTAGGGAGTTAAACGTGGAGCTCAGCGGTGAGTTCATACTGATCTTATCTCCCTGTGATGTTTTCAAAAGTCTCCTAAGATTTCTCTGGAATTGATTTTCTTGCTTTTATTGTGAAATTCCCTATTTAATTGAACGTGTCTCTGTAGCTGTCCGTGTTCATGCGTGGACGAAATAAAAAATGAGAATATGAACACACTCACCGATCAGTGTGATGTGGAGCAGGCCCGGCATGTCTGCTGCAGTGCTCGGCGTCCCCGCTCCCCTCCTCCTCCTCCTCCGCTCCGGATGGACAGATCTCACTTGGTTTCAGCTGCGGACGCGCTCTGGATGTGGATGGAGGTTCCTCCTCAGGAGAACGTCGTGCTCATGGCCGCCTGTCGTGTCCTGTGTGCGGGCTCACTGACCGGCTGTCCGTGACAGACAGACACAGCTGCGGTCAGACCAGGATCTGAATGATCTGCTGCTGCTGCTGCTGCTGCTGCTGCTGGTTCTGCACCACCGACGCTGGAAATACCCGCCTGGCAGCTGCTTGTTGTTCCCGCTTCAGACCGCTAGATGTCGCAGGCCCTGACTGATCCAGAGCTGCGTTCAGGTGCTCCTTGTAAATTGGTGCTCCTAACTTTTTATACAAAAAAAAAGCTACTTACACAACAAGGACTTTGATTTTGCCAGGATCATTTTTCTAAGTTTCTTTTTTTCATCTGTATTAACACCCCGAGAGGCAAGTGATATTTTCCAGATGAAAGACACTTAGAAAAGATCTGCCAACCTGTTTTTCTTTTTGTGAAAAAAAAACATATTTAAAAATTAGTGAAAATAAAAAAACAGTGGAAAAAAAATATTATGTGAAAAAAACGAAAAACATCCTACGTTTTTTCCGTCTGTGACAAGTGGCAAACTGCCTGTGACGTCACTCACTGATTTGTGAACTGCCGTTTTGAAGCCTCGAGTCTTCTTCATGTAAACTGTGTCACACACAAACACTGATGATGAATAACGGCTCCTGGACCTTTTGCACCTTCCCCCCATCACTTATGGACGGCTGCAGTAGCTTCAAGTCAACCTGTCAGACTGTTGCTCTGTCCTCACGGAGCTATGAAGAATTATTTTACATCTCTATAATTTATACTTGTTACTAAATAAGATTTATCCACTTCTTTATTATGCAAACTTGTCTTGTGACAGTGAAGTTCACCTGCACCTTCACTCACAACTGTATCCTATTTTTAATTTGTCAGTTACAGTTGATTGTAAATTGCACATATTTAATTCATCCATTCATTACATTTGTTTGTTCACACCTCCAGTTGATTGTAAATTGTTGAAATTAATGCAGTTTTAATGTGAAATAAAGTTTAACAGTAGCAGCAGCACAGTATAGAAATCACAACACACTGAAGTTTTTTCCTGAATCTGTAATTAATCAAAGACTTTCTGTTGCTTTAATCAACAACAAACATGATAGAAATGTTTAAATGTGTCCGTCCTTCAACAGTGACAATACAGGATCTACAGATAGATACTAGAGTTTGTGCTTTTCTAATGTGTCTTATGAACTTATCAATTTTAATAACAATGAAACCACTAATTCACCAAAGTGACTGTTAGATTCATCATGAGGCAGATGGTAAATATGAAGAAACATACTCTACAATTTAATCACAGGTTTATTTATTAAACACCTTTTCAATGACAACAATGAAGTTCTGAATAAAACTAATGAACATGAGCTGTACTACACTGACAACTGCTTCACAATCTGAACTGTCAGTGTTCAGTTCACACTAAAGAGTGTGTGAGGTGAACACATCCGTCTCTGAGGTCACAGCATCACATCTATGAAGAGTCTGGTTTTGCTCCAGGTTGCAGTTCTGGTGGGTCAGTTCCATCTGTTTCCTACTGAACACCGTTTGATGTTAAACTGGTCGATACTTTCACCTGTGAAGGTGGTGACTGTGCTAGAGCTGAACACATTCTGCTCTTCACATGTTGTTACTGTCATCCATCAACAACAGTAGAAATGAAGTAAAAGGCAAAAAACTGAATCTGAACACTGAGGACAGAGAATAATAAACGCAACTAGAAAACTCCTGGAGAACTTTTGAACGATCCTGCATCTTGGTGCGTGAACTTCACTCCTCTCATTTCAATCTGTACAAAGGACGTTACTTTCAGTTTCATTCATGTCGTAGAGACTCATCCTGACACTGACCTCAGTCACTGCCGGTGTCCCTCTAAAAGCCTTTTGAAGCTGTCACGACGCCAAAATAACCTCACACTGATGGTTTCAAACACAAATGTGTCCCCACAACCACAGCAAGACATGTATACACACATGTACATGCCCTAACAGAAGTTGATCTGCAATAAAGCTATACCACTACATCCCCATATAGACGATAGCTTCTAAGATCGAACTTTTATGACATACCTTACCTCTTACCTTTTTGAGACTTATTTTGAAAGTGTCTGTGCTTCTGTTTGGCAGTATAAATTGAATAAGGTTTTGCACAACAGAGCCAATAATTCCCTCTTACCATGTTGAGACTTTTATTTTGAAGGTAATCCAAATCGTGGAGATGGTGTTTGTGTTTTTTCTGTCAATAAATATATGTGTATGTGTTGAAGTATGATGCAGCAGTAGAGCTCCAAACAGGGCTGGGTTTGGTCGTTTTGAAGACATCTCCCCATTCATTCTGTATGGGAATTTTTTATGTTGTCATGGTTACTCGAATCGCTAAGAAAAGTCACAGCACACCATTCAAGATCGAGCCACACGTACCGATATATTGTTTTCTCAACCGATGCCCATCCATCCACTGCATCACAGCACATGTGAGCTGCAAGAATAAAAGAAAGCACACATTACAAATGAATCCTCACATACAGTAACAGCATTGTGTCCAATGGAAACTATTTACAACATTTTTACCAGGGAAACAGTCAGTGTCCAGTCTTTGCACTGCGCCATCCTGAATGCAATTTAAGAATATCATCAAAAAGAAAAAAGAACTGTGCAGTAAAATAATGATTCAGTTACCGTCTTTGTCATCTTTGAATATATAGACTTCTTCGGCCGCAGCCGCTGTCCACGACCTCCTCAGCAGCAAACAGCAGGCACGGTCCGAGAGCAGCTGCTGAACATAGTGGAAGATTAAGAAGCTAAAGAGACAGGTTTCCCTCAGGAGCTGGTGGAGACCAAACACAGAGCTAAAAGAGAGGGAACACTGGACTGAGATCCTCATGAGACATCAGATGACACAAACACCACTCCAAATGCAAGAAATAAAATATAATAATTATAAATAATGTCAATTAAAAGTTAGAAATGAAGACAGAAAACATTGTCCTGTCTTCTCTTCATCTCTTCCCTCCACTCCTCCACAGTCTTTCCACCAACAGTCACAGTGTGACACACCTGCAATGTGAGTGAGGTCAGTGTCAATCCTTCTGGGTTGGTCACACTTGCTGCACATGTATGATGTTGGCAGCCAGAGTTGACAAATTTGTCCCCACAACCACAGCAAGATATGTATACACATATGTACATGTCCTAAGAGAAGTTGAGAGAGGGAACAATGGACTGAGATCATCATGAGACATCAGATGACACAAACACCCCCCCATATGCAACAAATATAATAATTATAAATAATATCAATTAAATGTATAAATGAAGATAGAAAATGTTGTCCTCCTGTCTTCCTTTCATCTCTTCCCTCCACAGTCTTTCCACCAACAATCACACAGTGTGACACACCTGCAATGTGAGTGAGGTCAGTGTCAATCCTTCTGGGACCACGTGGCCACCGGGTGAAGACGGCAGAGCTGGCTCCAAACGGCGTCCACCAGGCGGCTAACACTGGCCCAGTTAACAGGGCCCGAGTTCAGTCCAAGAAGACAGCTGAAAGATAATCAGAGAGCAGTGTGTGTTAATATAGATCTGATATTCATTAGAGGAAACAGTGATATAGTGATAATTTGAAGTGAATCTTCACCCTCTGGAGACTCTCCTTCCAGGAACAGGGGTTGTTTCTTCCCCCCGCGTCCGTTCCTTGACTGTCACCATGGGCTGGGCCTCTCCTTTATCCTGGTCAACTGGGAGGGAAGACAACTCGCTATTTCTCAGGGTAACGGCGTGGTTAACCAGACCGTGACATGTTTAGCGCAGCGGGGTGTGCTAGCGGTCTATGAGGACGTTAGATATAAGATGCTTAGTTACAACGCTGTAATCTCGTGGCGGCCAAGTGGAGGGAAGAGATGAAGAGAAGACAGGACAATGTTTTCTGTCTTCATTTCTAACTTTTAATTGACATTATTTATAATTATTATATTTTTATTTCTTGATTGAGTGGTGTTTGTGTTCATCTGAATGTCTCATGAGGACTCAGTCCAGTGTTTCCTCTTCTTTTTAGCTCTGTGTTTGGTTTCTCCACCAGCGTCGCTGAGGGAAACCTGTCTCTTTAGCTTCTATATCTTCACACTATGTTCAGAGCTGCTTCGGCGGACCGTGCCTGCTTTTGCTGCTGAGGAGTCGTGGACAGCGGCTGCGGCCGAAGAAGAGTCTATATATTCAAAGATGACAAAGACGGTAACTGAATCATTATTTTACTGCAAAGTTCTTTTTTCTTTTTGATGATATTTCTTAAATTGCATTCAGGATGGGCGCAGTGCAAAGACTGGACACTGACTGTTTCCCTGGTAAAAATGTTGTAAATAAGTTTCCATTGGACACAAATGCTGTTACTGTATGTGAGGATTCATTTGTAGTAATGTGTGCTTTCTTATTATTCTTCGCTCAAGCTATGCTGCTATTGTGATGCAGTGGATGGATGGGCATCGGTTGAGAAACAATATATGGTACGTGTGGCTCACTGCTTGAATGGTGTGCTGTGACTTTTCTTAGCGATTCGAGTAACCATGACAACATAAAAAAATTCCCATAAGCGATGAATGGGGACGATGTCTTCAAAACGACCAAACCAGCCCTGTTTGGAGCTCTACTGCTGCATCATACTTCACACTACTTACACATAATTTATTGACAGAAAAAACACCAAACACCATCTCTCCACGATTTGGATTACCTTCAAAATTAAAAGTCTCAAATGGTAAGAGGGAATTATTGGCTCTGTTGTGCAAAACCTTATTCAATTTATACTGCCAGACCAGAAGCACAGACACTTAAAATTAAGTCTCAAAAAGGTAAGAGTAAGGTATGTACATAAAAGTTCGATCTTAGATCAG